AATCAGCCCGTCCGCTGGCATCTCATGCTCACTGTCCTGGATGACACTGACACAAAATATTCTGTCACACTGTAGAGTAACAGATATTCTGTGACATTTTCTGTGTACATAACACAAGACTGAATTCGGTTGTGAGCTGGGGGAGGAGCACGGTGGGATGGAGACCACTTCCTCAGCTGTGTTTCAAGCCACACCTACTCCATGGCCATTGAGGTTGGGAGACCTGAGGCTGTGATAAGAGGCTGGAGAATCCCAGTGTGAATATAGCTTGGGTTTCATTAGAACAGTTCTCTGCTGCTGGCTTACACAGTAGGCTTCATATTAATTAATCACAAGCTCCCTACCCCACCTCCACCCTACAAAAAAATATATTAGCTCATTGCTAAAGTGCCAAGCTGTCATCTATGAGGTCCTGGGTTGAGTCTCTAGTACCTCTGTTTCAAAAAGTGCAGTTTAAGCCTGATGTAATGCCCAGGTCTGAAATCTTGGTACAGGGGAAAAGAAAGCAGAAGGATCCTGTGTTTGAGGTTAGCCTAGACTACATAGTGATTTGAGGCTTGCTGGGGCTACACACACTTACTGTCTCAAAAGCAGAAGATAAATTATACAGGTAGCTCAAGACTCACGATGTTGCTTGGGATCCCGGATCTACTCCAGCTTTGACCTGGGCACACTCAGGGGCCCCAGTGTGGAGACTGGACTACTAAAGGACAGTTGGTGAAGATATCGTTTAAATAGTGTGGAACGTCTACCTCCCGGCTCCCTGTCCACCTTCTACCTAGATGCTGGCTGAGTTCATGATAGCTGTGGAGACCTCGCTCACCTACCATCATGGATGGAGGGGAAATTGCAGCTCCTGCTCCCTGGGTTTATGTTGGTAATGGACTTGTGATGAACTTGCCATCTTAGGGACGTCAGCCAGTGACAATGACAAAGCGTTGACAGATAGTCTTCCTTCTCTTACCCTGCTTTCACTTTTCTTGTTTTGAGCCAGAATCTTGACAGTCCTGGGACTTGATATGTGGGGCAGGCTGCCCTTGAACTTATAATCTTCCTGCTTCAGCCTTCCGAACGCCAGGATGACAGGTATATCAACCACCTACCCCAAATTAGCTCAGCTTTGCATTCTCGTAAGGCCTCCTTTGTCTTGAAAATATCCTAACAAAGCACATTTTAAAAAGAGCTAATATGCTTTCCATGTTTGAAAAAGAAAAATGACTCAAGTGGAAAAGTCACCTCACCAGTGGCTTTGTCCGGTGCTAAGTTGATAGATTTTGGGGGTGAGAGGCAACCATAACACTTTCCTATTTAGTGATGAACCAATTTGTTTATATTGTCCTGCTTAACTTTTTGTCAAGTCTGTTTTCAATCTCTTCCTTTGTAGATGTGCAAGGTGCTATATAAAATTTGATTGCAAGTACATAGTACTGACTAGTGAAAAGATTCTTGCATAGACTGATTCTCAAACCAAGACTACACATGGTCTAGATATATCCATGAAAAACAAAACCTGTAACTGTGCAACTATTAATTAATTATTTGTACTTAAAGGCCACACCTTTCCTCTCCAATATAGTTTATATTTTGAAGAGGATGTTTGCATTTGTTTTAGTTGGTGTTAAAATTTAGCATACTGTTCTTTCTTTGTCTCTCTAAATTTCATGTTTTTGGCAGCAGATAACTTGTTAGGTAGCTATGAGGACAACTGGAGTTTTTGCTTCTGACATGTAGTATGAAATCTCCTTTTGCACTTTCTGGCTTGTGAAAGGAATTGTGTATCACTTGGGTTCAAGGGCATAATCTCTATCCCCTCGTATGTATTGTTCATCGTAACTATGAATAATATCACAAACAACAGGTTGGGCAGTTTATGGAAATTCCCAAACCAGACAATCATTTTTTTATGGACATTTGTCAATTTGCTTTAACAGTTGTTTTAAGTGGTTTTTGCGAGCCAGCCTTCCTTCCTTTTCCTGTCCCACATTTACCACCTTACCTAGGTTGGTCCTTGCCCTCTCTCATATTCAAGAGAAGTCTCTTTGAAGTCTGGCTTCCCATCTTCTTACTCTGTGAAAGTCTAGGCTCCGCCCATAACCTCTCTCTGTCCAGGTTCTGCCCACGGTTTCTTTCTGTCTAGGCTCCGCCCACAGCCTCGTTCTGTCCAGGCTCCACTCATAGCCTCTTTTGGTCAATAGCTCCTTTCCCTTGCACTGTAATTTTTTCTCTCTTTGCTAAAGAACACGTCACGTGTGTTGAGATGTCACCTCACCTCTAATGTCCCTTGCTTCACGGTGTCCTGCCATGGTATCCAAGTCATCCACTTAGCTACTTGCAACCCGGCCATCTTTTTAGTGTTTCTCCCAGTCTTCCTAATTGGCCCACCCCACATGACAATCTCTGTGCAGAGGAACCCCAGCTTTGAGCCTCCTCATTCCAAACTCTCACATCAGGCCCTGCACGCCCACACCTGGGTGTCTTAATGGTGGTCTCCAGTTTCTCAAGAAAGCAACACTTCTCATTCCCCCAATCTTCCCAACCTGTTTCTATTTTCTGTGCAGAAGTCCAGGCTCGGTACCCACATGCAAAGAATAGACCAACAAATGGTTCCATTTTCAAAATGTAACCCAACCCAGGACCCTTACACTTGTCCCCAATGAAAGGCACCCTATACCACCTCGCCCGTCATCTCATGTCTGGATAATTTCAGTCAGCAACAAATGACCTTCTACCCTCAGCCCTTGCCTTCTACACGCCATTCTTCACACCTAGCCTGCATTCTGAATTCTGTTCAGCATCCTCCAAATTCTTGCAAACAAGTAGGCTGAATGTTCCCAAGCACTATGAAATGATGTCTCTGGAGAGTGTATATTAAACAAGAAATAGCATTTTCAGAAACAATGTTTTCTATTAGTACTAAGTTCTTATTTTTATAACTCTAGAATTTTAAAAAAGAAATAAAACACTCATTTTATATGAGGACAGACATGCAAAACCACAGAATGCTAGGACAGAAAATTAAAACAAAAAACAACCATGCAGCCCCTAAAAGAGTTTGCCTCCACAATGCATTTTAATTACATTGGTATCAGTTGGTATCAAATTCTCTTTTACTTAATGGAAAATTAAATATGACTTATAATAACTTTATGAAAGCTTATGTGCATGTAGAAAGAAAATGGTTCCTCAAGTTTTATGTTTTGATTAAAATATGTAGAACTTAGCCAGATGGTGGTGGTGCACGCCTTTAATCCCAGCACTTGGGAGGCAGAGGCAGGCGGATTTCTGAGTTCGAGGCCAGCCTGGTCTACAGGGTGAGTTCCAGGACAGCCAGGGCTATACAGAGAAACCCTGTCTCGAAAAACCAAAAATCCAAAAAAAAAAAAAAAAAAAAGTAGAACTTAACCCTAAAGGCACATTCACAGTTCATAAGGATGTCGGAGATAGCTCTGGAGAATTTTAGAAAGAATCATCGGTGAGTGTTGATGAGCAGGGAGAAAATAATGCAGAACAGAGCGATCAATCTTGACATTCACATGCTGACAGTGACATTCTAAAGGGAAATGTTGACTCTATAATGACTCTAGGAAACTCTGACAGGACGGCCCACACCTGGAGCAGACTGAGAATGCCACTCTCAATTTCATTTTTGGTGATTTTATCAGTGCACAAAATGCCACAGAGGACAGAGCAGAAGCCCTGACCCTCTAGCTGGATGGAGGATGGCTTCCCGATGTGGCAGAAGCATCCGGCTACCTTTCACCCACCTTACCATCACCCTATCCCAGTTATCCGTAAGTAAAGACACAGTTCAGAGCCAATGTGTCTTGTGCCAGGCGGCAAACTTCTTTTACTCATGGCGTCACTCTTAACTGCTTTTCAGAAATTGCAAAGATAGTTCTGGCTATATTTTGATGCTTATCAGAAGCAAAAACACACTAAAGGATGAAAATACAATGGATATTTTTATATTAAAAAAAAGGAAAAAAGTAATCCATACTAAAGGAGGAAAATAATGTAAAAGGACATTGTTTTGTGGTAGTAGTGTTTACTTTCAATTCCAGCACTTGAGAGGCAGAGGCAAGCAGATCTCTGTGAGTTTGAGCCTGGCCTATGTAATACGTTCCAGGACAGTCAGGGTTATAAAAAAAAACCCTGTCTCAAAAAAAAAAGTTATCCATTAATTGATACAGAAAAAGAAGAGGAGGGAAATGAGAAGAAGTAGCAAGTGCACCAAGCCTTTAAGCCTCTGTTTACATCGTGGATTCTGCAAATGGGCACTTAGTGGAGAGGTATCTGCAAACCACCTGCCAGGCAGTGAAAATTCTGAAGTAGGGTACAGGTTCAGGTATATGAATGTACACATGCACACACAAAGAGGCTTTTGCTACAACTGTGACAAAAATGACTTTCTCAGAAACTTAGTATACAGTTTGATTTAAATCTGCTACATCACAGTAGTAAACAATATTTTAAAATGTGTAAATCAAAAAAGAAACAACTCCTACTAGCTGGAATTCCTCTGGCACAAGCAATGCTCACACAGGAATAATGTATAGTAGCTGTCAGTGAAGCAGAGGTACCTCACTGTATCTTGGTTGATACAGCACACAGAATACTGGTCTGTGTTACTTACATCATACACACTCTTATTTTGTGACCAGAAAAACTTTAAAAAAAAAAATCCACAGACGCACTTATGCACCGTAAGCTTTTCTCTCTGCTCATGTAATTTATGTTTCTGTTGTATGTGACAATGCTTTAAAAACATACAGGAAAAAGTGCCGTCAATGTTTCTGAAAGACAAGCTGTCACCCTGATGACTAGTCACCTAGATATCCATAAGGACATTTCTTACAATCCTATTATTGCTTACTATTTTTAACAAGCACAGAGGAAGCGCCTGTAGGGTTAGAGAATTCATGCTGCTTTTCAGGAGGCAACCTCATTAGAAGTGGATTCACCTCTTCTCGTTTAAAGTATTTCAGGAAAGGTTTTCTTACCTGGGAATATTCAAAGTCAGTGATAGGGGCTATGCTCTTGATATAATCTGACCGAAACTGGTTCTCAGGGTTGGCCAGTGGAACTGGAGGTATGATCGTACTCATTGCCGAAACGATTGTCTAAAATAGGATGAAGGAGGAAAAAAAAAAACCAGAGATATAGGACAGATAAGCATCCCTCCAATGGTAATCAGAAATATACACTTTGTGTTTACCCAGTCTAGCCTACTTACAACACTTCAGGTGACAGACATTAAAGGAAGTCCTTACCACGATAGCATCTTTGACATTTTTCCTGATGTCCAGAATTTTCTGCTTCTTTTCCCTGCATTAAAAGAGAAGTTGTTACTAATTTACTTCACTTCTCACTGATAGAAGCCAATTAAAACTTTAAATTTCCAGTGAGTGAAGCATCAGGTAGATCTGGTTTCACCAGAGGTCAGCACCAACCCGCAAGGCATCTGCCAAGTTTTTAATCCCAGAAATGAAAACATCACCACCCCTCCAATTTGTGCCCTAAACAAATGGAATGTATCTGCTTAAAAAGAAAAAAAAACCTACAGTTCAAACAAACATCAAGGTCACAGAATCACAATAATTACCATGGAGAGTGCATACAAATATGACTCTACGGTTATATTCCAGTCTGTTCCTTATACTGAGAGTTAGAAAATAAAGTAGATGTAACTTGGTATACTCTAGAGGAAGGGTATACTGTGATACAGTAACGTGGTATACTCTAGAGGAAGGGTATACTGTGATACAGTTAGGCTTACTATAGGCAGTTCTACACTGGTGGATTCAACTAGCTGCAGATCAAAAAACGTTTGGCAAACAAACAAAACAAAGAAGAAAAACGTATCGGCACTGAATGTATACAGACAGTTTTCCTCGTGACTATCCCCTAAACCATCCAACACCATACAGTCGCAGCTTTGATTCACACATTGCAGTAGGTACTGTGAATCATCTAGAGGCGATCCGAAGTGAACTGAAGAATGTTCACAGATTTTTCCAACTAATATGCCACTTTAAGCAGCAGATTCCAATATTCTTGAATTTCAAGGCCCCCCCCTCTTCAGATAATAGTGGGTAAAGGATCAATGAATTGGCTGAGGGTTCAGCACCACACCAATATTAGAGATCAATTCCCCCAAGAATTCCTAACAAATTGCAGTTTGGCAAGCAGTTTACTTTTTAAACTAGACATTGCCAAAGAAGGGTTTTGTCTAAATGAAGCATGTTCAATGCTAGATTTCTATCTTCCCACCACCTAGGTCTACTACATTATAAACAGAACCGCGGAGAAAGTACGTCTGAGAATTGACGCAGTTGACCTAGAATTTGGGTATCCTTACTCGGGGTTGAAGCCGTTGACGTGCAGGATCCTCATCTGTTTGACGATAGTGCTTTTCCCGGACTCACCAGCCCCTGTGAACAAACAGAAAGAAGGTGGTCATCCATGTCCTCCTAACGGGCCATCCTGTCGCTACCCAACGTCTCTTACGTGGGGACTTTCGCAGTAGTTCGTACGCTCTGGCCAGGCTCCGGTGCCCAGCGGTGCTCAGTCTGGTTTGGGAGACTATGATCATATGCCGGTGGCGGTGAGGCCAGGACTGTGCACTCTGGGCCACCGGGAGCCGCCAGGTCGGAGCTACCACACATCCCGGCCTTACCCAGAAGCAGCAGGCGGTGAGTCGCTTTGTAAGCCAGGCGCTCTTTCTGCAACTGCTTCTCGATCTTTTTGTTGGCCTCGCGGCGTTCTTTTTCATCCACGCCCTGATCTTCTGCAGTCTTGCTGCTGTTGCCCAAACACCCCATGCCTGCTGGCTCGCACTCCGCTCAGGCAAGTAGGAAGGCGCACCAGAGCCAGGGAGACCCCGAGATGTGCGCTCCCGCGACGGCTTCTCCGCTCTCTGATACTGAAAGAGACGGCCAGGTCTCCCGGGGATCTGCGATCTCACCGGCTTCTCCCTCCCCTGCCCACCGCAAGCTCCCGGCTAACGGCGCCGGGCGCCCAGGGAAACGCTCCTTAAAGGCAGGTCGTCTTAGGAACCTGCTGGGGAAACAGCGCGCAGCGCGCGGAGCACCCCCTGGCGCCGGGTTCTGTTGGAGACAGCCGGGTGGCGCTGTGCCGGGGCTCAGCCTGCGCCTGGCTCAGCACCGCCCCACAGAGATACTGAGGTGGGTGGTGCGCAACCGAAAGCGGGATCCTGTCCCTCGTAGTGACAAAGCACGGCACCAAGGGCCAGAGCTCGTAGCAAAGGGTCTCCACAGGGCGACTGCGGCCACCTACTAAGCTGGCTGGTTGTTTTGCTGTCTGATGTGCGCGCCCCTGCGGGTTCCGCTCCCCTGGAAGGAGATTAGGACTGGAATAGGGGTTGGCTTGGGGGCTCAGAGAAGCGTTTCCCTAACCTGGTGAGTCAGAGGAGGGACAAGGGACGCTTGCTTACACGCTGGCCCCTGTGGCTTTCTCGCACCCCGCGGCACGCGCTCCTTGCACTGCTCCGACGCCACCTTGCTCCCAGGCGAGTGAGGATTCGGGATCATGCATATTCTATCAGGGAGGAGGATCTCTAGGATGCTCACCAGTCACATCGCGTTTGCTCCCTTCAGCTTCTAGACTATTCCAGCTCGCCCCCGCTACCACCTTTCCAGCCCGTCTTTACCTCCAGCCCCCGTTTTTCTTTGCAGTTCGGTCGAACAGTTCCACTGCGTTTCTAGAACACATTCTGGTTTTGAATTTGACCTTAGAGCCGAGGAATGGGTAATGAACAGGAGACTGGCACGTCCTGGTCCTTTATTGTGCCAGAGAATCAGAGCCCTTAGTTAGCTAAGCTCTGCGCTTTGTGTTCACAGTGCAAGTGCAGGGCGTCTGCAGGACAATTGAGGTGACAGGCCCAGGTATTTGACTCCAACACTGAGACCTGAAGGCGAAAGGAGTCCTAGAGATCATGAGAAATTGATGGTCCTCAGCGTGGGGACACTGGGTACTGAGCACCAAGTCCTACAAGCCTTTGCTCAGCTCTCTCCAAGCCTCAGATTTTCCCGTGCTATCAGCATGACCTGGCAGGTGTCTCAGAGAGTAGATACGGACTGGGTTTCTTTATCCTGTAGTCAGGCCATGGCCTCTTGGTCTCTCTGCCTGTCGCATCTCTTCTGGCTGCCTCCAGCTTTCTCCACTTGCTCCAATTTCCCTTCTTCTTTGTCCCTCCCTCTCTCCCTTCCCCCACTCTTCTGATGGGGTCTGTTTTCCTAGAGCACGCAAACACACCCCCACACTGCCGGTTGCAAACTTAGACCCTCAGTCCCCCCCCCCCTTTCATTGGTCCCACCAATCCTTCTCCTTCTGGGGGCTCCTGTCCTGAATCTCTCCTGACTCCTAAAACCGCAACCCCGGTAGCCTGACAGTGGTCCAAATAGAGAATACCCTCACCAGAATTACCAGTAGATTTAGGGATGTCTGGTCCCTGTCATCTCAGGAAGGCCAGTCCCGTCAGATCTTCTCCTCAAATCCTTTAACTGCCACACACCACCATTTGAGTTTTGCTCGTCTCTGCCTAGTGGATCTCAGCTCGTCATTTCTCCCAAGACATGACTGGCAACTATGACTATCCACACCTCCAACCTGCTGCTTCTCCCTACTTTCTTTGGATTTTCTAAACCACGTGGAATGTGAGTGATCCTGATGTTTTTTTTCTCTTGCAAACACAAAAAGTTCATGTGTCCTGTTGGATGTTTCCTAAATATGCATTCTGTCCTCTATCACCGCTGTGGTCTTTGATCACTAATTCTAAGTACGATTTCAGCAGTAGAGGCCGGGTTCTGTTGTCTCTAGCCTTAATTTTCAAAGGAGGCCTGAGTGGTTCACATTGCTAGTCCGACTATACCACTGTCCCCATCTCAAACTCCTTTTCTGGTTCTTCTAGACCTTTTAAAATGCCAAATCACCCATATATTATTAAAGAGAGGTGGAAACAAAACAGATTTCACCAAAAAGTTATAAAGGGGGATTTAGATTAGAAACCCCAAAACACATATTTAAGGTAGTATGATACCCAGTTACTTTAAAAGTATAGCAAAAGGTTGTAGTTTGATCAGATATGTAAATTAGGGTTATAGTCAAACTGATGTATTGTAACATTGTGGTTTCTGTTTCTTGAGAGTTTTTTTCGGTTGTTATTTTTACATGTAACAAAGGAAAAGCATTTTAAAAGAGGGCAAGAAATGACTCCAGCGGGGTGCTTTTAACATGCAAATGTCTGAGGTTTCTTTACTTGCTTTCTTTCTTACTCTCTGTACCCCTCCCCACTTCTGTAAAACTTAAAAATAGAAAGCAAAAACCCTCAACTGTTGTAAATCATGCAATTAAGGTTGATTTCCTATAAATATGAACTTTGGGTCATGGTATAAACTGTTAAATGTGATTCCACATTGCCTATTGTGAAATAAACTGTGTGAGACAGAAAAAAATTAGGGTTATAAAATTTAAGGATTAATACGTTGATGTGGGAAAAAAAACCAGACCACACTGCACACAGAAAGTTAATTGATATGAATACAATGGTAACACACACATCGGAAAAGCTGCTTCTGGCTGTTGAGTGATGGCTGGTACTGGCCTAAGTCCTGTCTCTAGGAAAAAATTTTAGTGCAAAACATAGGAATTATTGACACCATCATTTTAAGAGCTCAGAGCAGTGACTTAAAAGGGTAACTGGCTGAAAATCTGCCCAATATAACCAACTGTGTGTGCACCAGGACACTGTGCTAACTTGCATGTCCCGTAGTCTAAATCGTGATGGTGCCTGCTTTGTTAAGTAATTTCAGTGAAAAGTATAAAGCCAATCTCAGTCTGTTATTAGGTTCAAGGCCTCCCTTTCTGTCTCC